TCAGGAATTCGTGACCAGTTCCAATTTCCATAAGGATGTCTCCTGCACTTTTGACGCTTCTTATAGTTTGAGGTTTTACATTTAGGTCTTTGATCCATTTAGAGTCAATTTTTGTGTATGGTGATAGGTAGGGGTGCTGTTTTAATCTACTGCATGTGGTCAGCCAGTTTTCCCAGCACCATTTACTGAATAGATTCTCCTCTCCCCAGTGGTTGTTGTTGGAGGCTTTGTCAAAGATGAGTTGGTTGAGAAACTGAGGTTTTGCTTCTGGGATCTCTGTCCTGTTTCATTGGTCTATATGCCTGTTCTTGTACCAATTCTAGGCTGTTTTGATCGTTGTAGCCTTATAATAAAGTTTAAAGTCTGGAAGTGTGATACTTCTTGCTTTGTTTATTTTGCTGAGGATTGTTTTGGCTATTCATGGTCGTTTATGTTTCCATATGAATTTCTGTGTTGTTGTTTTCAGGTCTGAGAAGAATGATGCTGGTAATTTAATGGGTATTGCATTAAATCTGTAGATTGCCTGGGGTAGGATGGACATCTCAACAATGTTGATTTTTCCAATCCATACGCATGGAATATTTTTCCACTTGTTTTTATCATCTTTGATTTCTTTGAACAGTGTTTTGTAGTTTTTGTTGTAAAGGGCTTTCATTTCTCTGGTTAGGAAGATGCCAAGGTATTTCAGTTTTTTGTGGCTATTGTGAATGGGATTGTGCTTTTTATTTGGGTTTCTGTTTGTTTACTGTTGGTCTGTAGGAATGCAACTGTCTTTTGCACATTGATTTTATACCCTGAGACTTTGCCAAAGTCTTTTATCAGTGCAAGGATGTTTTTGACAGATTTTCTTGGGTTTTCAAGGTATAAGATCATGTTGTCTGCAAAGAGGGATAACTCAACTTCCTCTTTTCTTATTTGGATACCCTTGATTTCCTTCTCTTGTCTGATTGCTCTAGCTAGGACTTCCAACACTATGTTGAACAGGAGGGGTGACAGTGGGCAGTCTTGCCTTGTTCTGATTTTCAGGGGAAACGGTTCAAATTTCTGTCTGTTTAGCAGTATGTTGGCTGTAGGTTTCTTGTAGATGGCTCTTACTATTTTGAGGTATGTTCCATTTTGCTTAGGTGTTTGAGGTTTTCTTTTCCTTTAACTTTTATTCTGTGTATGCCTTTACAGGTGAAATGAGTTTCTTTTAGGCATCATATAGTTGAGTTTATACAAACACTAATCTACTGTCTGTCTGTAGACTTGAGTTTTCTTGATATTTCATAAGACTGGAATGGCACAGTATGATGTCTCTTATGTCTGGTTTCTGCTGATCATAATATATCTGAGGTTCATCCTTGTCATAAAATATATCTGTGGTTTATACCTTTATATTGCTGAGTAGTATTCCTTGTATGGATATACCAGATTTGTTTGTCTATTCGTCAGTTTATAAGCATTAAGCTGTTTTCAATTTTTAGTAGTTATGAATAATGCTGCTGAGAGTATATGTGTGCAAATTGTAGTATGGATATATTTTCATTTCTCTTGGATATATATTAATATCTAAGAGTGGAATTGCTGAGTCATGCGGGGTACATTTGTGTTTAACTTTTTAAGAAACTATTTTCTAATAGGGTGAACAATTTTACATGCCCATTGGTGATATCTGAAGTTTCCTAGTCTACAATCTTGCCAACATTTGTTATTATATATTTCTTTATTATAACCTTTTTAGTGCATGTGATATGCTATATCATTGTAGTTTTAATTTACATTTTTCTAATGACTAATGCTATTGAATATGTTTCATGTGCCTTTTATCCTTGGTTTTTTAAAGGATAATTTTCTGGATGTAGACTCCTTGGTTGAATGTCTTTTTCTTTCAACATTTTGAATATGTCACTTCACAGTTTTCTGGTCCCCTAGATTTCTGGTGAGAAGTCCACCTTTGAGCTTAGTGAGACTCTCTTGTACATGATAAATTATTTTTCTCTTGTTGCTTTCAAAATTCTCACTTTGACTTTTGTCAGCTTGATTATGATCTATGTAGATGTTGCTCTCTTTGAATTTATTCTACTTGGAGTTTGTTGAGTAGATTAATACTTTTGTGAGATTTGGGGAGTTTTTAGCCATTATTTTTTCAAATATTCTTTCTGTTCTTTTTTCTCTCTTTCTAGGAATATCTATGTTATATATATGCTTGATGGTTTCCCACAAGTCTCTGAGGTGCTATTCATTTTTCTTCTTTCCTTTTACTTTATTTTTTCTAACTAGATAATCTCTACTGACTTATCTTCAAAAAATGTTGATTCTTTTTTTGACTAGTTCAAATATACAGTTGAGCCTCTCTAGTGATTTTTTTCAGTTACCATACTTTTCAGCTCCACAATTTGATTTTAAAAAGTAATAATTTCTGTCTCTTTATTGATATTCTCTATTTGATGGGACATAGTTGTCATAACTTCCTTTATTTTGTTTTGGTTAATATACTTTTTTAAGAGTTGTTTTAGGTTTATAGAATAATTGAACAGAAAATACAGACAGTTCCTATATACTTTCACCTACCCTCTACCTTGTCCACAGTTTCTCCTATTGCTAACTCCTTGCACTGGTATAATACATTTGTTATGATTGATGAACCAGTGGTGATACCTTATTATTAACTAAATACCATAGTTTACATTAGGGTTCATTCTTTGTGCTATACAGTTTTATGGGTTTTTCCAAATGCATAATACTATATCCACCATTACAATAGTATATAGAATAGTTCCTCTGCCCCACAAATTCCCTGTCCTCCACCTGTTCATCCCTCCCCTTAGCCCTTGGCAATCACTGGTCTTTTTACTTACTCTATAATTTTGGCTTTTCTAAAATATTATATAGTTGTAATACCATATGTAGGCTTCTCAGATTGGCTTGTTTCATTTAGCAGTATACATTTAAGGTTCTTCCATGTCTTTTTGTGATTTGGTAGCTCATTTATTTTTATTGCTGAAAAATATTCCATTGTCTAGATGTATCACAGTGTGTATCCATTCACCAGTGAAGAACACCTTGGTTACTTCCAATTTTTGGCAATTAATGAATAAAACTGCTAAAAACATTCATGTGTAGATTGTTCTATGGCCATAAGTTTTCAACTCATTTGGGTACATACCTAGGATCACAATTGCTGGATCATATGGTAAGACTGGTGTTTAGCTTTGTAATAAACTGCCAAACCATTTTCCAAAGTGGCTGTACCATTTTGCATTCTCATCAGCAATGAATGATAGTTTTTTCTTACATCCTCATGAGCACTTGGTATTGTCAGTTTTTTGGGTTTTAGCCATTATAATAGGTGTATAATTTGTTTTAATTTGCAATTGTCCAGTGACATATGATGTTGAACAACTTTCATATGATTATTTGCCATTTATATCTTCTTTGGAGAGGTGTCTGCTTAGATCTTTTGCCCACTTTTCATTAGGTCTTTTTTTAATATAGTTTCCTTTAGTTCTCTGAATATATTTATGATAGCTGCTTTACATTCTTTGTTTGCAAAATCCAACAGCTGAACCCCCTCAAGGACATTTTCTGTTTGTTGTTTTCTTGTTGTTTATTAAAGTTCTTTTCTTTAAAAAATTTTTTTTAATCTTTTTTTTTTTTAATTTTTGAGTTGGAGTTTGCCAGACTGTTGCCCAGGCTGGAGTGCAGTGGCATATTCACGGCCACCCCACCATTGACCTGCTGGGCTCCGGCAATTCTTTCGCCTCAGCCTTCCAAGTAGCTGGAACTACAGGCATGTACTACCACATCTGGCTAATTTTGTTTATTTATCGTAGAGATGAGGTCTTGCCAAGTTGCTTGGGCTGGTCTCAAACCCTTGGGCTTAGGCAATCCTCTCACCTCAGCCTCTCAAAGTGCTGGGATTACAGGCTAAGCCACCAAGCCTGGCCTTTTTTTTTTTTTTAGTTTTTAAGCTTGACTTTTTTGGGTCATCCCCTGAGTCAGTCAGTATAATTTAGTGGTCATCCAGTGATAGATCAGAAGATTTCCTTAAATGCCTTATGCTATTAAATCTTCCACCTTTTTTCCAGGGGGATTTTTGTGTGAAGTTATACCTCAAACTTCAGACAATTTATAAATCATCCTTAGCTTTAATTTTCTCCTTTCAAAGACAGCCAGAGTTGAGGGTCTAGAGCCTTCTTCTGTCCCAATTATTTCTAGTCATACTGAGACTCTTGTACATGTGTGCATACTTCTAGTTCCCCAAGAATATGTTGGAGCCTTTCAAAGTTCCATATGGGTTTGGGTTTCCAGGTCTTCCTTTTCAGTTTTTAACCAGACTCTTATGTGCCCTGCCTGTAATCACAGCCTTGGGTAGCTGTGATATCACCAGCATATTGCTATTGTCTTCCATAGCATCCTGGAAACAGCTTTTTTCACCAAGCTGTGTGGTGAACCAAATCAAATGATAGCAACACCCTGGGAATGGAGATTTTCTATGGAGTTGCTAGTTTAATCAAAATATTGACTGTGCTCTGGGGATAGAGTTTTTAACGACACTTCAAAAGATCCGCTTGCTGTCATACTACTGGCTTTCATGCTTCCCACACTTCTGAGCTTCAGAAGAAGAGAGGATGGAAGTAACCTCAAGTTAAAACTCCGCAAACTCTACTGTTCTTACTGAGGTTCATTAGTCTTTCTAGAATAAGTCCCTTTAAGTTTATTCTATGCCATTAGTTAATTCCAGTGTTTTGAAGTGATTTATTTGGACTGTTTTGGCAATATTTTATTGATTGTATTGGGGAATGTGCTCAGTGAGGTTCTGAGTTTGTCATTCTGTAAGTCAGTTTTTTGACATCTTTAATTTTGATAGGAAAATAATGTCTTTCTGAGACATTGCTTTAATGTTTGATATGTATATAGGTTGTAGTTTATAAATGATGGGTAAACATTAGCCTTTTGTCTTGAAGAAACTTTTAAGCATGCATTTGAGACAATTATATTCTGACTTTCTTTTTCAGCTTGCTGTTAGTTCTGACTCTACAGGCCCATCTGAGAATTTTGAGGTACAATCTTTGACATGTCAGAGAGAATGCAGTAAAACTATGAACACTGAAGCCTTAATGACGGTATTTCATCCTCAGAATTTGGAGACTCTTAATTCTAAAATGGTAGGCACATAAAATATTTCAATCTATCGGCTGATACAGTTGATGAAAAATAAAAATTTTAAAGCAGACTAGAAAGAACCACAACTGAAAACTCTTCTTTTTGGACTTGAAAAGTTTTTACAGCAAGTACTACTGTGTGACTTGTTTGGTTCCACTACACATGAGGACTGTTATTCAGAAAAAAAATTAAAGTTGAACATTGGGGTTTTTATGGATGTGTAATAGCCATACATATTTATTGACATTGGGTTTTATTTGCATTGATTTCTAGTACTCTATCCCAAACAGGTTTTTTGAGAAGAATTATGGTTGAAAGCTTTACTTCCTAAGTATAACACTTTTACCATTTTTTTATGAGTTTAGCTAAGAATTAAGATAGTAAATTAAAGCTGTTATGCTCACATGGGTTTAAAGATTTTTGTGATGACAGAGGTTCAGTGTTTCACCACTGTGTGAATACTGGTTTTGATTTTCTGTGTTTTTGATTTCCATAGATGTTGTTTCAAGGTAAAGAGAGTGTGCAAGTTATTTTAGAGAAGTTAATTTCTCACCGAATTTAGTTGCTTTGATTTTTCTGTTATAGTTGAAAGAAAAGATGAAGGAACAGTCATGGAACATTCTATTTGCAGAATGTGGGCGTGGCGTTAGTATGTTTCGGACCAAAAAGACTCGAGATCTGGTTGTAAGAGGGATTCCAGAAACCTTAAGAGGAGAACTTTGGATGCTTTTTTCAGGTATTATATTTATTCACTTTATTCATTTAACAGGCATTAAGTATGCCCTTTCTATTAATTATGCACTAAGCTAAAGTCAAAGAATTAAAAAGATAGCTAGGACAAAATCGTACTCATCTTGAGTTTAGGCTAGTCAAAGTGAGACAGGTAAGTAGTTATGTGTATTTATCTATATGCCCACAAATCCAGTATCTGAGCAGATTAGTTTATTAGGCAAGATATGTATAATTGGGGGAAAATCTTTATCTCTAATGTCAAAGGAAAGTTAAAGGGGGGGAAACTCATGAAAATGGTGTTCTATGGGATAAGATTAGTAGCTTGATGTAGATTCTGGTCTGAAGTGCTTTTTGTGTTCAGAAATTACTTGAATGTAAAGCTAAATTTTAAGGTAATAAAATCCAATTCTTCATGTATATATGCAAATAGTAGCTTTATTGTATTAATAATTGTATTAATAATAATACAATTTTTCCTCTTCTTTTGTATTTAATGCAATCATCTTCGCAGGTGCTGTTAATGACATGGCTACTAATCCTGGCTATTATGTTGACGTGGTTGAGCAGTCCTTAGGGACCTGCAACTTGGCTACTGAAGAAATTGAACGTGATTTACGCCGTTCCCTGCCTGAACACCCAGCCTTTCAGAGTGACACTGGCATATCTGCTCTGAGGCGGGTACTTACTGCTTACGCATACAGGAATCCCAAAATTGGATACTGCCAGGTGTGACTTCACTATAAGCCCAAGTGTGTGCATGTTCCAAATGATAAAATCACATCAAATCCAACTTTACTAATTTAGAAATTATGGTGTTAAGGACAGAGGTTGGAGTGAAATAGAGGACAGTATTAATATAAGTGGGATGGTAGTGGGAATACTTAGGAGAATTGACATTTCATTAATTTGTTCTTTTTAATTTGACAAATGTTTATTGAATTTCTGATCTGTAAAGATACTGTGCTAGGTACTTAAGGCTATATAAAGATGTTTCAGATAAGGATTCTGCCCTTAAAAATATATAGGCTGACCAGGTGTGGTGGCTCACTCCTGTAATCCCAACACTTTGGGAGACTGAGTTGGGAGGATCACTGGAGACCAGGAGTTCAAGTAAGACCTCGTCTCTACAAAAAGAAGAAAAATTAGCTAGGCATGATGACATGCATGTATTTTCCCGGCTACTTGGGAGGCTGAGGCCAGAAGACCATTTGCGCCTAGGAGTTCAAGGCTTCAGTGAGCCATGATTTTGCCACTGCACTCCAACCTAGGCAACAGAGCAAAACCCTGGTAGATATTAAAACATATTCATATAGTAAAAAAAAAAAAAACGAAACTGAAAAACAAATGAGACAAACTGTTAGAGAAATATAAAGTCCTGTCAGGATTCATAATAAGGAGAAATTATTTTCATGGGAAATCATAGAAAACTTGGAAGAGGTAGCATTTGCAGATCTTGAAAACCGGCAAATTTTGGACATATAGAGATGGAATGAAAATAATATTCTAGGTCAAGGGATCAGTGTAACCCAATACAGATAGAGGTAAATGTAGAATGTATACAGTACCATGTTCTGTTTAGTTTAGTAGAATTATAGGGTGAATGAAGTGAAGTAGATGGAGAAAAAAATCAATAAGGCTATTGGAATAGGTCAAGAGTCTACATTTTATTTCATAGACAGTAGAAGAATCATTGAAAAAAATTCCTTAGGAGCACAATATTAATTAGGATAGGCTAGACTGCTAATACAAACATAGATAATAACTGAAACACAATAGAAGTTTACTTCTTTTTTTTTTTTCTTTTTTATTTTTTGAGTTGGAGTCTCACTCTGTCACCCAGACCACTCTGTCGCTCCCAGCCACCACAGCCTTGACCTGCTGGGCTCCGGCGATCCTTCCGCCTCAGCCTTCCAAGTAGCTGGAACTACAGGCGCACACTACCACGCCCGGCTAATTTTTGATTTATTGTAGAGATGAGGTCTCGCCAAGTTGCCCAGGCGGGTCATGAACTCTTGTTACTTTTATGAAGGAAAACATTTTCAGAAGATGTTCATCTGCCAGTTTCACTGTATCCTCTTCCATTATGATTTCTTGCACAGGAAAGCGATGGAGTAAAAACTAAACTTATTATCAAACATTGTGCCAGATATGGCATGGAATTGACATACTTCATATATAAATCTATAAGAAAGGTATTAAGGTATAAAAATGAGTAATGGACATGAAAGGATTAGTCACAAAAGAAAAAAATACAGATTGACAATAAAGCCAGAAAAAGACATTTCAGCCTCAGAGAAATCCAAATTAAAACAATGAGATACCATTTTCACTATGAGATCAACAATGATGATTACAATTATTACAATTATCAATATCGGCAAAGGCGCAGTGAAATAAACACTCAAACACTACTGGTCAGAAATATAAATTGGGGCTGGGCTCAGTGGCTCACACTTGTAATCTTAACATTTTGGGTGGCCGAGGCAGGAGAATTGCTTGTGTGGGAGGACCCTTTACAGAGAGACGGGGACACTGAGTCTTTTTTGTCCGTAAGCAGTGTTAATTTGTGCCGGCACTGGCCCAAGCAGATTTACATCTAAAGGCTGAGCCCCAAACACAGTAGGGTGTTGTCTTATATTATATTTTAGCCCCTTTGTCTCCCTCATATGGCAGCCTGCATTTTGATTGGGTATTTTATGGCACAGGGTTGTAACTGGGTTATGCATATGCACTTAATCATTGTCTACGTTATGTCACTTTTTCTTTGTTTTGGAAAGGCCCTTACCACATTCCTCCCTTTGATGCTCTGGCCCTTCTAAGGTCAAAGAGCATTACCTTGATTAAGGAGTTGGTACTTTTATAACATCATTATATGTGTTGCCATTTCTTTTTCAACCATGACCTCATTGAGGCTGGAGGCACACCTTATAACCAGGGGAGCCAGACAGGGCAGGATTAGACAAATTTTCAAAATTGTAAGTTTATCTGTGAGGGTTTTGAATTTTCTATAAGTTGAAAATCATCTTCCAAACAGTTTTTCAAGATTTTAGCCTTTTCAGGTCTGGACTAGGACATAAACACTTTTTTAAATCCTGTCAGTTATTTTTTTTATGACCTTTTTCTCTTCAACTATTTGAAAGCAGCAGTTGTTTAAGTTAAGTTTTTTATAAATTTTTCTTTAGAAGCAAGCAAGTAATCTAAGGCTAAACAATTTTGATAGATAGCATTGTGCATATTGGTTTGTTGTTTGGCTAGTAGGTTAAGGGCCTTTGTCATTTTATTAGTTATAATTTCAACAGCTGTCTGTAATTGAATTATGTGGTTTAGTATGTAAATGGGGGTTCGATAGCCCCAGGACCCATTCTCTGCCCAGGTGGCTGGGCCATAGTATTGGATGATATGCTCAGGGGGCCACTCATTATCTTTTTAGTTGCCAATCTGTAAAGCACGCCATTTTGAATATTTGAATTTTTAAATGTTTCCGTCTGGCAAGTGAGAGCAGGAAGAAGGATGGGCAGATAAACCCTAACACACAAGATTTTGACCAGTTTGGGAGAAATATAGCATTGTCTTTTTAGCATGACATATATTCTCCCTTTTTTTGTTAGCATCATGTCTAAGACCATATGATTTTTTTATGTCATCTTATTAGTAGCATTTAATTACTTAGCAATTTTTAATAGTATCTTTAGTATGGTTAATAAATTTTTGTTGATTATAATATATATAATTGATTTAGTTTATATTTTTATTTATAGTTATTTATTAAAAGAGAGATTCAAATCCTGAAGCTATTTGATTTTGAGCTTTGAATTTATTAGGAACTTTTTTAGGGACTCATAGCATTTAGATATATATTAGTCAAATGAGCCGGTTACTGGTGGTTTAGGTAATGATCGCTTGACTTTTTTAGTAGTTATTAGTAGGTTTTGAAATGTCAGGGTGAATGGAATAATCAGTCAAATCAAAGCACAGGTTTTTATCTATTTGGGTGGCAACAGGGCTCAAATTATCTTATTTTATAGTATTACCAAACATCTGCTTGAAGGATGTTAAAGTTTGAGTAGTTATCCTTAGTTGACCCAGAGTCATTAAGGACATGGGTACAGGTTTATAGATGTCTCACAGGAGCGGTGAAGCCATCCCCTTGTCTGGAGAGACAAGAGGAGTGATTTATCTTATCTATGGAGAAGGAATGATACACCTTTGGATCTGACATCTGTACAGGTGGATTAGGGAAAGACTGCAGCAAGTCTTGTTTTTCCATGTGTCCTTATCTTGATATAGAGCCAACAGACAACTCATTTTTTGGGGTTCTGTGTTCCAGTTAACCGGGAATGGGAGTATTTGAACTTGTGGCCTGCCTGTAGCCTGCCCGTGGCACAAGCATAACAATCACTTGTGTTAAGGCTTGTTATTGTATATTTTATCTATTTAACCCAGGCATTTGTGTCCCTGTATCTTGTCTCAATCTCTAAAGTTTGTTTTAAGTCTGTTATTCTTTATAATCATCATCTTGCCAGAATTATTTTGGGGGTTAGTTTGGTTTAATTTTCAAAGCTGTAAAGGATTTGGATTAGGGGTTGGGGTAGTATTGATGGATGGTAAAGATGCTAGAGGCGTTGTAATTAATCTTATCCAAAATCTACCTAGAGGGTCTTGTCCAGATATGACTGCTCCTAACCCATATTTTCGAGGTATCACAGGATTTCTGTCTATGAGTTGAGGTTGGGTTATTGTTAATAACAACAGGTTACATTGTAAATGTTGACAACTAGGAGGAATAGTCCCTCTTATCATTTGAATATTATTTTTAAGTTTTTCTTTTTTTTCTTTTTTTACTGGAGCTGTCCATCCTTTAAATTGAGTGGTCCAAAAGACACCAGACCAGTTCCAGCAAGGGTTATTTGGGGCGAGTAAAGTTATATCATTTATAACACAAGGGCCAGCCCCCCCATATTTTGTTTTGATATATTTTAGACCATCTTTAGCAGTGGCTTCAGGACAAAGGTATTTGTCAACCATAGGTAATTTTTTTTGGTCGTGAAGACTTTCACATGACAGAACAGAACAGGCATCAAATTTAATAGTTATTGGGGAGTTAGTTTTAGTGATATTAATAATAAACCATCCTTTGCTTTTGTTTATTACTATGGTTAGAATTGGTAATACCTTTAAGGTAAACAAAGGTTTTATGGTTGCTCAGGATTGAAAAGATTCTTGCAAATATGTTTAACAATAAAAGCAATAAACATACATATGATAAGAAATGTAATTGACAGTGCTATGAGACAAGGTACAGAGGAGTACATTAGGTTTTCTTGAATTTTAGTTTACTGGTTTTGTTGGAAAAACTTTTTATTTAATGGGAGTGTTTTCTGGTACTGTGACTTTTTTTGGTGATTTTTGGTGCAGGTATGATGCGTCCACCCTTTTTTAGCAGTCTGTATGACCGTCTCAGTTGTCAGAAGCACTTGATAGGGTCCTTCCCAGCTTGATTGGAGCTTAGTTTTCTTTCTGGACTTGATCAGCACCCAATCTCCGGGTTGGAACTGATGAACTGTAAACTCAAGAAGAGGGATTTGAGCAAGGAGCCCTTTTAATCTAAGAAAAGATAAGGTAGAGGAAATAGCCAAAACATATTTTTTAATTTTTTTTTTTAAAGAAGGGAGGGGTAGGACAGAAGTAGTAATTAAGGCTTGGTTTAAGTTTATTTTTTTTTAAGTTTGTAATGTTTTCTCAGTCCACTCAAGAAGGTTTGGGGCCTCTTTTAATAGTTTAGAATATAAGCCTGTAGTTTTAGTTGCATAAGATTTAATCCACAATGTACAATATATTGTTAAGCCCTAAAACTTTTTAAGTTTCCTTTGGATTAAAATTCCCTGTCCCATTCCCCTTAGGATTGCTGTTTTTTTGTTTTTTAGTTTGTCCTCTCTGGCCTTTGGAGCCCATCCATGGGGACCGACCTTCCATTCCTTTGTTACTGAACCACCTTTTTGACAGTACTTATCATATTTCAAGCTTTTTGCCTCTGCTTTTTTTCCATCTTACCTAACAAATACTTTCTGTGTTTTTTCCAACAGCTTTTTAATGGGCTTTTTATTTTATCTCTCTAGCTTCTGTAACTTTTTAGCAATGTCAGGCCAGCTTCTAGTAACAAAGTTTACTTTGAATAATTTTTGTTCTGCAAGGTTTTCTAGATCTAATCCAGAATATTTTTTTATCTGGTCCCGAGTTGCTGCAAAAAAAAAGGCTGTGGGAGATTTTTTTTTCCCTTTTTTTGCCGAATTTTAAAAGCCTTAGAAACATTTTGAGACCTTGGGGCAGATTTTCGAATGTCCTTAATCATTAATTTCCTCAAGTCTTGCATTTTTACCCTATCTCTTGGGTTATTATTATCTCATCTAGGGTTAGTATTTGGATACTTTTGTTTAGCAGGCTGTGTACCTGGGGCTGGGGGATGATTTTGTTTCCAGATGGACATAACTGCTTGTCTAATCATTTCTCTTTTTTTCCCCAGTAAACAAAATTATTTATATTTGACATTAGTTTTACCCAAGTATATATGTTAGGTTTAAGGAATTGATTAACTTGATCAGCCAATTTTAATGGGTCCTCTAGGAGTGATTTTATTTCTTTTTAAAAATATCTTACTTTTGTACTGGTGAGTAGAGCATTTACAAAACCAATTTTTCCTTGTCCCAGTGGGACTTTAATTAAGGAGAGTAGTTTTGACTTTTTGCCTGAATCTTCAGGAGGCAAGGTAAACCTCAATGTCTTTCTGACATTGTTCTAATTTCCTTTTTAAGTTAGAATAAATATGTCGGGAGCTTGGGGGTTTTGACTCTCAAATTCCTGTTAGATCTTCATTCTTGGCCATTCTCCCCCTCACACTCCTGGTCTTCTTGAGGATTATAAAGCAGGGGAATACAGGAAGGTGGCTCTCAAGGTTTTTCCCTTTCCTCTGGGGTCTCAGATTCTTTTTTTCCTTCTCTTTTTTTTCACATTTCCTGTTTTAAGGGGGAAAATTGGAAGGGTCTATGGTAGCCAACAAAGGGCATCGTCTTTTTTCTCAGATGAAACAGAGGACTTATTATTTACGTATATTATTAAAGTTTGTCAAAGTCAATCTTTATTAGAACCAAGCTTCGGCCAAAAGACCCAAGGGCTGATGTGTAGGTTTTTTGGCCAGATAAAACAACAACACTCAGTCATTTTCTTTTTTTGTTGTTGTTTTGAAATTTTTCAACATTCACCCCAGCAGACTATTTGGGAGAAATTTAAGGGAGTCTTTCCGACCTCCCTTCCTAGGCCTATGCTTTTTATTATCCATTTTTGGTTACCGGGTTAGTCTGTACAATTCTGGAGTTTTCCAAAAGGGTGTTAAATCTCCCGAAATGGAGACTTCTCGCAGACCTTAAGACTCCAGGCCCTCCCTGAAAGGCTCAGCCCACCTTACTGGAGGTTTCTTGCAGATTTCAGGATTTTTCCCGACTTTACTACCGCCCTAAGCTGTATGAGGTCACCAGGGATCCAAGGATTAGGACTCTACTCTTACTTCGTCCCCTGTGGGACTACTCGGGCAACTCTGGGAGGTGATCAGGCTCCCTTTCTGCCTCTTAGGGACAGGCTTACCAAATCAAACCTGGGTTCTTACCAGTCTGATAGAGGTGCTCCCATGGCTGGCTCCTGGACCTCACCAGGTTCTTTGAGCTCCTGGGGTCCTTGCCCCGGCACGCTGAGAGGGCTAGTCCTCTACGGATCAATCAGTCCTCTGGTGCCAGGCTAGGTCACCTCTCCCGGCATCCCAGGAGTTGCACCCCAGTGACAAGGGACATGAAATCGCCGTCTCCACTTCCCAAATGAGCCCCCAGAGATATGGTAGAACCCTTTGCAGAGACGGGAACACCAAGGCTTCTTTGCCAGGAAGCAGCAATTATTTGTGCTGGCACTGGCCCAGCAGATTCACATCCAAGGGTTGAGCCGGAAATGCAACAGGGCCTTGTCTTATATTACATTTTAACCCTTTTGTCTCCCTTATATGGCAACCTGGATTTTGATTGGGTATTTTATGACACAGGGTTTTAACTGGGTTACTCATGTGCACTTAGACATTGACTATGCCACATCACTTTCTCTTTGTTTTGGTAAGGCCCTTACCACACTTGAGCCCAGGAGTTTGAGACCAGCCTAGACAACATAGCAAAATCTCATCTCTACAAAAAAAAAATTTAAGTTAGCTGGGTGTGGTGGTGAGTGCCTGTAGTCTCAGATACTTAGGAAGCTGAAGCTGAAGGATTGTCAGAGCCCCGGAGGTTGAGGCTGAAGTGAGCCATAATCATAGGCCACAGAGTGAGACCCTGACTCAAAAAAAAAGAATCCAAGAAATATAAATTGGTGTTTCTGGAGTTTAATTTGGCAATAATATTGAGTATTTTAAAAAAATACCCTTTGGCCAAATAATTTCATTTCTAGGATCTGTCCTGAGAGAATAGTATAACATTTGGATGAAGATTTATTTACAGAAATATCCATTGCAGCATAAAATATAGTAGTAAAAAATTGGAATTAACCTTAATGTCCAACAATAGTAGAATGGTTAAATGTATCCACCTAAGATTATTTTACTCATGAAAAATACTATTTTAGAAGAATATTTAATGGCATTGGATATGTACAATATAGTGCTAAGTGAAAAAAATAAAAAATTAAGTATACACTTTGATACAACTTTTAGAAGGAGAAAAAGAAGGGATAAACTGCAGAAAACTACATCAACTTGTTAATAGTATTGATCTCTGGGTAGATAGAAAACAGAAGATTTTATTTTCTTTTGCACACCTTTCCATTCTCTCCAAATCCTATACATTAAGAGTTTATTACCTTTATAATCATGAGTGTACCAATATATATAAAAGTAATGATCTGACATTTGTGTGCAAGATAGATGAGAAAAAGCAGAAAGAGTGGTAGTGGGAATGGAGAGGAAAGAGCACATCTAAAGTATGTAAGAAGAAACTCTAAGGTTTCTAATATCAAAATTAGGATAGATAAGAATCCTGCTTGATAGAGAAAAAAATATATTTAGTTTTAGACATAATAGAAGATAATTACATCTAAGGGCTATGTCTTTATAGGTGGTTGGAAATACAGATGAAGTTTGTTTTCTTTAATTTTAGTATGTCCTTGAAAATTATGTACATTTCCATCAGATTAGCGATAAGGATTTTTTACTCATTGAAATTAGTCTAAATTTGAGAGGTTTTACTTATTTTGTTATATATTTATGATATTACTGCTTTTTTTTCTTGAATGTTATTATATAAAATAATTGATCATAAAATGTTAGCCTGACTTCTTCTTGTTTTGCTTTGGACTGACTTGGAGTTCTCACATTACCACTATTATTACACTATTATTACTTTCAGTTCTTATTACTGCCAAAAACCACTATGTTTAAAGAAATGTAATTATTACCTGAGTTATATTTACTTTTAAAAGTTTTTTCTATCAATTTTAGGCAATGAACATTTTGACTTCTGTGCTTCTTCTGTATGCAAACGAAGAAGAAGCTTTTTGGCTTCTGGTTGCTGTATGTGAACGAATGTTGCCAGATTATTTTAATCGTCGAATCATTGGTAAACACACATACACACACACACTCATATGCATACACACAGACATATTTTTTTTCTAAGCAACTTCAGTGTACCTTGTCTATCTAATGGCTAATCAAATAAAGCTGATGAATTTTATGCATATAACATAGTGCTAAGTGAAATAAAGATTTAGTATACACTTTAATACAAATTTTAGAAGAAGAAAAAAACTGCAGAAAAATACATCAACTTGTCAACAGTGTTAATCTCTGGGTGGTAGGTAGGTTACAGGAGGTTTTATTTTCATCACTTCTTTTTTTCTCTCCAAATTCTATACATTAAGGGTTTAATACCTTTATATAGTAAGGATTGTGACAATGTATATGAAAGTAATGCTCTGGCATTTATATGCAAGATAGATGAGAAGAAGCAGAAAGTTAGAGTGCTAGTGGGAATGGAGAGAAAAGAGCAAATCTAAAACTTTGTGATACAAAACGTAAGCAATATCAAAATGTCACATTCACTTAAATTATTTTAAAAAAGAGCTTTTTGTACTGTACTGAATGGATAGTTAGGACGATTATTTAACATGGTGCCTTTTTTTTACTTTATTATAAAGACATGGGGTACAAGTTAAGATTAGGTACGTAAGTAATCTACGTGGAAGTGAAGTTTGGGCCTCCAACAGGTCCTCACTTCCCCGTTGTGCTGTTATGTGCCTCCCCCACCCACTGCAACATGTTGCTTTTTAAAATAAAGCACCTATTCTGCTTCTTATTAAAATGGAAGTTTTACGTTTAAACAATATTTGTTAATTGTATAATATTTTCTTTAATTATCAAATATTTATAAATCTGTTATCCTTTGCCTTAAAACTGATGGATGGTCTCTACTTTGTACCCTTATAAGCTTTCGGTATCATGGCAAGATCATTGATTGTACTGTTCTTCATTATAGTTATTTGTGTGTTTATCTTGAGTTCTATTAAATATTAAGTTATCTGAAATTGATATCATTTCACCAATTGGTATATCTCTTGTAGTACCTACTACAGGTCTCTGCATATAATAAAGACTCAATATAACTCTTCAAATGAATTTGAATTGGGTTTCTCAAGTGCTTCTAGATGTATGAAACCTTACTGGCAAATATAGAAATGTGTGAAATATAGAAAAGGCACTAAAAGAGTTTCTAATTTAAGGAAGAGGGGTGAGATACATCAGCATGCTAATAGAAGGGGGGAGGTATGGAAACAACTCCTTTTGAAGAATGTATTTTTAAACTTCTTTTGATATTCTTCAGGTGCCTTGGTGGATCAGGCAGTCTTTGAAGAACTTATCAGGGATCACCTTCCTCAGCTGACAGAACACATGACTGATATGACATTCTTTTCCTCAGTTTCTCTTTCATGGTTTCTCACACTTTTTATTAGTGTGCTACCTATTGAAAGTGCAGTGAATGTGGTAGACTGTTTCTTCTATGATGGAATCAAGGCCATTTTGCAACTGGGACTGGCAATACTTGACTATAATTTAGACAAACTGCTGACATGTAAAGATGATGCTGAAGCTGTGACAGCTTTAAACAGGTATTGTAAGAACCATAACATTTAAATCCTGGAGGGGATCTGAGCAATTAGGTTGTTCAATTCCCTTATTTTACAGAGGAAACTGAGCCCTACAACTTCACATAATTTCCCCAAGTTCACAAAGTTAGTTGAATGAAAGAGCTAGGCCTGAAGTCCAGTCCTCTATCTCCAAATAAAATACAACAAACATAGATCATTTTGAAGAGAACCATTTACACTAATATTATTGATTCAGTATGCTGGTACTTTCATATTCCCAGTTTGGGCTGTAAAGTATATAAAATTAATTTAAGGAGGGAAATAGTAGTTGATAATGGTAAATATCTAATGGAGGGAAATTGTTCTTGTTTCCATGTTGTTTCAGGTAGGTTTAACTTTATTTTCCTAGTGGCTTTTGTATGAATGCTATTTGGTATTGGAGCACATGTGTGTTTTGTTATACGTATATGCATACATATTTGTATATGTTAAATGAATGAATATTTGAATGGGCAACTATTGTCATGCCACATTAAATTTCATTATGTACAGTATATAAATTTCTTCATGTATGTATATAAACATCTCACTCTGTCATTCCTAACTCTGTGATAAACCCTCAATGTCCCTTTCTTTGTTTATTTCTTCTTACATGCCTCTATATACTCTATTCCATTCTTACTGGACTAAGTGGTATTTGCTGAGTACTCTCTGAGCCTATTTGATTCCTTCATGCTCTCCTCCAAAAACCCAAAATAATTTTTCCGCCATCCCTTTCCCCCACGTGTCCTTCTAATCCCCCACCAGCTTCAAATACCACTTCTTTATAAGGCCTTCCCTTATCCACACAGTTGAAATTTACCTCTAACTAGGGAGAAATTAGCTGTCATTTTCTCTGCTTGAATAATTTTGTACCACTAATTCTTGTATTATTATCATTTTTGGATAGGTTCTTTGACAATGTCACTAATAAAGATAGCCCATTGCCTTCAAGTGTTCAGCAGGGTTCAAATGTGAGTGATGAAAAAAGCAATCATACTAGAGTGGATATTACAGATTTGATTAGAGAGTCAAATGAGGTAAGTTTTTTATATTATAAATATATTACATAGCATATTTTAAATGACTGATACCATGGTATAATTCCAGTGGTATATTAAGAGTAATAATGCAAGTAGAGATACAATTTAAAATCCAACTTTACTTTAAAAATTAGTTCTGTGAACTGTTCCTAGATTGTTTAACCTTCTCTGTTTCAATGTGCTTTTTGTTAAATGAAACAAAATTCATTTGCTTTCACAAATAATGACCAGTTTTAAATATCTATCACTGTATGAAAAGTAAAGTATTCTCTTTTCTTATTATTATTCTTTTTTTAGAGACTAAGAGTTTTACCAATGTTCTTGTACTTAGTCTGCACACATAGTAGATGGAACTGTGGGAGGTGAAAATTTGCAAAATCATTGAACGAGTCAAGAAAATAGCTAGAAATAAAACCAAAGCCTCTGGGAGAACTGAGTATGTTAAAATTGTATTGTAAGAGGAGAAGAGGATGTTTATTATGAATGAATGTCCACTGAAATCATATTTCTTGCAGAAATATGGTAATATTCACTATGAAGATATATATAGTATGCGCTGTCGAAATCGGTTATATGTGATACAGACCCTAGAGGAAACGACAAAACAGAATGTGGTAAGTATGCACCCAATGAGAGAAAACCAGTTGAAGTAACATTTTTTTTTAACTTTCTTTAGAACTTATCATTCTGTATGAATAAAATGAGAGGGACTAAACTTTTGAACTAGATTCTTGGCAAGGTTTAGCTTATAGTAAACTTTTTGAGCAGAAATAAATTATTTTCTTCTGGTTGAATTATGTCGCTTTCTCCAATATATTTTGTGTTATTTGACCTTAAGCACCACTACAACTTAGTATTGTATGCTATGATGCAAGCATTTAAGTATGTGATGTGGTATATCAACATGAACAGCTGATTTACTTAAAAGTCAATGTTACTAATAATTATTTTTATCTTTGGATATCTAAGGTAAAGTGAAAAGGTTATAAAACAGCATGTTTTAAGTACCTGTCTTTTCATATTTGGATGACTCCATAAGATGCTGTTCATGTTTCTATGTGTCTGCACACGTAAATGTGTATAGGGGGATACAGTTTTGAAATTAGATCATACCAATCACTTTGATGTGTAACTTTTTTCACTCAGCACTATATCATGGTTATCACATATCAGTACATATAGATCTACTTCACTCTTAATGTACCGAACGTTGTACCATAGTGTGGATATGTTATAATTTATATAACTATTCCCTATTGAGATACATTTAATATTTCTCCTTTTTTTTTTTTGCTCTTACAAATAATATTTCATATAAAATCCTTGTGTGTATATATATTTATATATTCTTTGTAAGATTCCTGGAAATGGAAGCTGGGGAAAAGAGTATACTCATTTAAAATGATAAGTCCTGACAAATTTTATACTTCAAAAGATTTGTCCCAAATTGTAAACCCATCAATAATGGGTGAGAATGCTCTGTTCCCCACATGCTCACTAATGCCAGATATTAAAAATGTTTAATTTGTGACATTTCACTATATCAAATATCACATCTCATTTTAAATTTCATTTCACTGATCATGTTTATTAGCCTTTTTCATTTCTTCACTTAATTGTTCATAACCTGTGCCCATTTTTCTATGAGAGTGTCTCTTATCGATTTGTAGGAGCTCTTCAACTATTTTGTGGTATTCTTTGTCAATTATATTTGTAGCCTAAAATTTCTTCCCTTAGTATTATTGTTTTTTTCATTTTATTTGTGGTGTCTTTCAGATTATACAAGTTACGAATTGTTATGTAGTAAAGCCTTACTTGTTTTTCTTACATGGTGTCTGAGTTTCATATCAAATTTATCAAGGCTTTCCCTATTTAAAATTATGTAAATTATAAGAAATATTTTTATCATGTTGGCGTATAGTACTAGTATTGCTTTCCTTTAACATTTAGAACCTTAATACACCTAGAGTATATATATTTTTTGTAGAGATAGGGCTCTAATGTTATTTTTTCCAACCAAAATCATGCATTGTCTGAAAGCCATTTATTAAAATCCATCCTTACTGTACTCTACTTCTTTCTTATGCCAAATCCTTGCATACATACACAGGCTTTATTTTTGGACTTTCTCTTTGTGTTACTGCAACAGTACCAAACTGTTTTAATGACATGGTTTTATCCATTTTGAAATCCAGAAAGGCTTTAAAAATCCCTTTTTAATATTTATTTTAATGATATATCCTTTAGTAAGCATTTATGGTTTTCATCATTTAGCTCTTATACATTTCTTGTTGGGTTTATTCTCATATGTATTTTATGACTTTTCTGTTAATATGAAAGTGATCGTTTTTTTCCTTTATATTTTCAGATTTTTTATTGCTAGGTATGTAAATACTATTCATTTGGGTATGCTGCCTTTCTAAGTGGCCACATTACTGATTCATATTAATTGTAATATTTTTTCAGCTGACCTTCTTGAATTTTCTGAGTAGACAAGCATATTATTTCCAGGCTTAGAATTATAACCCTTATACCTCTTTTCTTTTTTTGTATTATTGCATTGGGTAGAATCTTCAGAGAAGTATTGAATAACAGCAGTCAAAGCCAGCTTCCTTGTCTTATTCCAAATTCAATAGGCATGCCTTTAGTATTTTATTACTCTTGATTTCTGAAGGATGCTCCTTATCAAATTAAGGATTCAGTTTTTAGGTTAAGATACTTTGGACTTTTTTTTAAAAAATCTATAGTGAATATTAACTGATCAAATGACTTTTCCATTTCTTGAGGTTATATGCTTTTCTGCTTTATTAATGTAAATTTTATTAAAGAACTCCTAATATTAGATTTCTGTTATATTCTTAAAATGAGTCCTAGTTAGTCATTTATCCTAATTCTATTTAGATGTATGTAATCCTATTTAGATATATTATTCTTTTAACATTCTGCTTTGATAATTTTGCTAAATGGTTTAGCTAGGCTCTTTGCATTTTTGGTAATGTAATATTGTTTTAAAGTTTCCTTTGTGAGTGTGTTAACTTTAGTTTTCATATCAGTTGTCCTTACGTTATAAAATTTTTTAATCCTCTGGAATAGTTTAGATCACTTAGGAATTATCTATTTCCTGAGGGTTTGTAAAACAAGCCAGTAAAGCTGTCTAGGTCTGCTGCATTTTGGTTTGCTGCCTAGGAAATCTTTGACTTCTTTTCAATTCTGTCTAATCAAATGGTCTTGCTCTTACGAGTTAACTTATTTATATTTTGCTAGGGAATGATCTATTTTGTTTAGATTAATATATATTATATTGTGTGTGTGTGTGTGTGTGTGTGTGTGTGTGTGTGTAAAGCTTATGGAATTAGTTCAGCAAACAGTTCAACAAATAATATCTTCTTTGTGCTGAGCACTTTTAATGACTTCTATATCTGTGCTTATATTAATCTTTTATTCTCAATGATGTTTATTTGTGATTGTTTTTATCTCACTTGCCAGGGCTTTGTCCATTTTATTTATTTATTTTTCAATTAACCAACTCTTAATTTTATTTATTGAGTCTACTGGGATTTTTTTCTTTTGTAAATTTTCCCTATATCATCAATTCTAGATTTTTTTCTTTACTCTTGCTTTAAAGTTTCTTAAATGCCATGATAATTGTGCCATTAGTGCTTATTCTTCATAGAGTAGAATAAAATTACATATTTCCTAACTTTATCACTTCTTGGATTATGGAGTTTTTTTGGCATAGAGAGGGAATGTACATCTCCCAGTGCCTTTGAAGTGTTTAATGACAACCTCCCATAATGACTTGACACATTGCTTATGTGACAAGGGAGGAATATATGGAATGAGACTTAAAATACTGTTACTTGTATTTATAGACATTCAGTGGCTGTTCTTTGGCAGTGATTTCTGGGTATGAAGAGATTAATGTCAAAGTACAGAGTAGAATTTAACTGTTGTCTATGTTCAATTTTTAAGAGTAAAATAGATCCATCTACCTTTATTATTTCTTTAAAAACTTAAAAGCAAAATATTTTCTTCTGGCAGAAGGAGGCTCTAAGTGGAGTCAAAGACAATTTCTATACAGAAGTGTTAAATTGCAAATTCTAAATTTCTTTTTCATCTTTTTAAAGTTGCGTGTTGTATCACAAGATGTGAAATTGAGCCTTCATGAATTGGATGAACTTTATGTCATCTTTAAGGTACTGTTATTCTTCTTTAAATGGAAAATAATGCTCTTTTGGCAGAATTACATCACAATCACTTTAAGTGTTTTTATCTTTATTTTAGTAGACATGTTTTTTAAAAATCTTCTGAAATTACTTTTTCTGATTTAATGACTCTCCTTTTTTATTTGTTTTTAATAGAAAGAGCTGTTTTTATCTTGTTATTGGTGTTTGAGTCATCCAGTATTGAAGCACCATGACCCCAGTCTGCCATATCTGGAGCAGTATCAGATTGACTGCCAACAGTTCAGAGTGTTGTATCACTTGTTGAGTCCCTGGGCTCATTCTGCAAACAGAGACTCACTAGCTTTATGGACATTCAGATTGTTGGATGAAAACTCTGATTGCCTTATAAACTTCAAAGAATTCTCCTCTGCAATTGGTAGGATGTTGTCCAATATCGTTTTAAGCAAAAACTAAAGGTGGCCCTAGAAATACTTAGTACTGCCTGTTATTGTCAATTTAGTCAGATTATATTACCCTGGGTCACAATGTCTCCAGCTTTAAAAATAAATGAGATCTGTTTTGTGTTTGTTGCTAAATCTAAGTATTTGATCTCTTTTTGCCACAACCCTTTCAGAAAAACAAACTGTTACATGTGGGTGTTTTAAGGGTTAACACAAAGGAAGAGAATGTCTCAAGTTTCCCACACTCAGACACATGGATGCTACAAAAGGGCCTTCCCCTCTCAGTAAAAATCCAACCACATCACCTAGAAAATTGGTAGAGAAATACCCAACAAACATATTATACCTACAAGATAGTCAATATGTTTACCTGTAGATATTGTGCCTTTGCTTTTCCAAATACACATGCATGGTTTCTTATCAGGCATTGCTGCTTGAAGAGCAGTTTTCTCCACAAATGAGGCATAGGCTTCATTTAAAAGAAAAAAGAAGCCGGGCTCGGTGGCTCAGCCTATAATCCCGCGCCTTTGGGAGGCTGAGGTGAGTGGATTGCCTGAGCCCGCGGGTTCGAGACCTGCCTGGGCAGCAAGACCTCATCTCTACAATAAAAAATCAAAAAATCAACCGGGCATGGTAGCGCATGCCTATAATTCCGGCCACTCAGAAGGCTGAGGCAGAAGGATAGCCGGAGCCCAGCAGGCGAGGCTGCGGTGGCCAGGAGCGGCCACTGCACTCCAGTCTGGGTGACAGAGTGAGACTCCAACTCAAAAAAAAAAAAAAAAAGAAATCTGAGGTTGGAAGAGATGGAATAGGAAAGCATTTTATCCCTTTGATAAAGTATTTTGTTAACACACTTGAAGGAGAGAATCTGATTGACGAGGTGTTTAATTGTTGGCTAAAGAAACAGAAGTTTTCTGAATCCTAAGTTCTGGCTAATATCTATATCTTAATTAATTTGTGTTGCTGGAATTGATTGAAAGTTCTTTGGATACATGATCATTTGCAATTGAATTTTATTGAACAGACATAATGTACAATGGAAGTTTTACTGAGAAGCTTAAGCTGCTTTTTAAGCTGCATATTCCTCCAGGTAAGAGTTTATCAGTCTTTAACAATGTACAGCAGGAATTTATTCCATTTTAACAAGTATAATTACAGATAATTTATTTTAACAAATAACATAACTTTCAGTATGATATAAATTAACTGCTTCCTTGTAACCCACAAATTATATTACCACTACTTTCACTGATATAGATGCAATGAAATCTATGGAAGAGATTCTGTGTAACATGTGAGTCCACAAGTTTCTTTCTTGTTAGTGATCAGTTTAATGATGAATAGTTTGTATGTAAGAATCACATATAATTTTAATATTTGTATAATGCTAAATTTATATTGTTGTCATTACAGTAGAAATTAACTTTAGACAAGCTGCCAAATGGGCAGAATACTACAAATTATTCAGAAAAATGGGAACAGGCAGCAGGGCTATTAAATATTTAGAAAAGGAAATAAAATAAAAACTACCATTTATTGAACACTTGCTCTGCAAGACATTTACTTTGCATGCATTCTTTTATTTAATCCTCACATTATTCCTGAAAGGTGGATTTATCCTTCCAATTTTTATGATAAAAAAACTTAGAGTTGGAAAGATTAAATTTTTTGCTGAAGGTCACATAACTAATAAATTGCATGGCAAACTGAGGCCTGTCTCCAAAGTTTATATTTATTTCTATTCTGCCATCCTACTTCAAAGTTACCACACCATTTCAGTTTAAGTTTTTCTCACTGGCCTTAAGAGGATGCCAGGGAAGGGGGACACATAACATCAATAAAGGTACCCACACTTTACCTGTACAATGACCATGTATGTACCTAACCCTGAATTGCACCCCACATTTTAAAAATAAGAAGAGGCTGCCTTTCCAAGACTTAATGCCTGCTTTGAGAAAACAGTCTTAACAGGCTTTAACTGAAGAAACATTGTAAAAAGCACCTTTCAGCTTAGGTTGAGTAATTCACAAAAATAAGCAACACCTCATAATTTATCAAAAGCTACACCTGGGATCCCTTTTTGACTCTTAGAATAACCAGAAAATATTATTTACCAAACAAGCTAAAAACCACCCTTAACCCTTCACACACTCAAATGACAAGCACGGCATTAAAAACAAAAGATAAACCACCTAATAATTTAATAATAAAAGGAATTTACATTGTCAAGTCACATTGTTGTAAGAATGTTTAATATTGTCATCAAATATACTTTTAATAGAGAGCAAAAATAGAGAAAATGTGTACCTGTTTAAAGCACAGGTAAGAAGTAAAGCAAATCACTCAACTTCATGTTTTCCTTATTATTGAGGAAATTTTTGAAGTAGCTAAGGTCATGTGTTCAGAGATTTCCAAATGCCAGATTTTTAAAAATTTCAGCTGGTAATGGCTTTTGGAAAACAATTTTAAAAACAAGTAGGAGAATAATAGAACTCAAAGCGACCAAGAGCTTTTTGTTATTTGCTAACAGCAGAGTATAGTACTTCACTTCCATCTTTATTATACAGAAACCCTTTGTTTAAGTCCCTGCTTACCTGACCCATTATGACCCCCATATCTGTCCTCTATTGTTAATAAAGGTAACTTGGGTTATATGTTTTCAGCTTATACTGAAGTGAAATCTAAGGACCCTTCAAAAGGCGATGAACTTTCTAAGGAAGAATTACTTTCTTTCAGTCAGCTCCATGGTAAATATCTGTTTAAAAGTTTAACTGTTTTGATGATTAGTTACCCGTAGAAATCTTCCTGGCTTAGATATTCTTTGCCTAGCTACCACTAGTAAAATTTGGGTTCATTTTACCTTATGTTTCTTTTGTACTACCATGGCACTTAGCATAGACCATGAATATTTGATTGATTAACCAAACTGCATTTTGGGGCCTTGATTTATGGAACATCTTGTTTGTTGGAAACCCAAAAAATGTATTTTGTTCCTAATTATGTTCCAAAAATTTCTAAAATGTATCTGACCATTTTTTTGCCTTGATAAAATACAATTAAGGCAATAGAATATTTGATGATTGAAGATCATAGCTATTTTTCAAACAGTGAATATTTATTATGTATCCTTGTAGGTGTGAAAGACAGGGACAAGCCTGTCTGTAAGACATAATTTAAAGTGATATGAGCTTATTTTTGTGTCCTTTGCTTTATTTCCATAAATATGCAATGGACAAGCCTTGATTAATGTATATTAATGGTTGCTATATGTTAAACTGCTTGAACATTAAGATTGAAGGGACATTACAAATCATCAAGCCTCTTCATTTTATAAATAAGGGCTCTAGACTTCCCCTGAGTATTCAGCACATGTTTTATACATGAAAAAGGAGAACTGTGTAATCAGTCATATTCCCAGTTTCATATAGATTGCTAGTACAGTCAGACCAAATTCATACCTTAATTATAGCAAATTGATAGGACATTGTGATTTGTTTATGGTTTTGTTGTTGTTGTTGTTGTCTTACTTGATTTCCAACCTCCATTCTAACTTGCCATTTTCCCAGCCTTGATATTTTGCTTTATCTTGCTATATGTGTTTCATACATGCTGCCTACCCAAAATCTACTGTGGAATACAATCAACTTAGATTCACCTTTAGTCAAAACTCTTATTTTTATATTATGTATATATAATATTATATAAAAATTTCATAAATAATCTTTGTCAAGTCGAAATAAATAAATAAGTAAGGGCTCTAAGTTTCAAAAAGTGACTCATACAAGATTTCACAATGAGTTGTTTCCACAATCCAGGCTTGTAGCTCAGTCTTCTAATTTCCAGTATATGGGTTTTTTTTTCCTTAAAATAAAAGTAATATAGTCTTATTTGAAGAAAATCACCAAGTAGAAAATACCACCCAGAAATAAATCCTTAATATTTAATATACTTTTCTCTAGAATTTTTCTAATGTGGATTTTTCCCTAGTATTCTTTTTACTGTGAAAGTTTTGTCTTCTAATGATAGATCAAGTCAGCTAAAATTGGTTTGCAGAATTGAAGAAAATAGCATATGCTTATAAGTCATTATTTTACTTTCAAAAGGTATTTATTAAATATTTTACAAAATGCAATTGCCTTCTTTTCCTCTAGTTTCCAAGCCTGAAAATGAGAAGAAAGCAGAATCAGTAACAAACAGCCCTGAAAAAGGTACTTTGATCTAGGAATATCATTTAGTTTATTAAGTTATTGTTTTTGTAAATAAGAATAACAACAAAGGGGGAACACTAGATTCCTTTTCAAGGCTATTGATTTGTCCTGAGAGCTTTTTCAGTTCATTTGTGTTAGGTTAATAATTTATTCTTTCTTCTTTTGATACTTAGGTCTTAGAAGTTATAGAAAACATAATAGTAAATGACCTGTATTCATTTAATTTTATTATTTTAAAAATATTTATTTTTAATTATAAAAGTAATAGATAATTTATATAAAAGAAATTCAGACAGTATATAAGTCCTTCACCCAACACCACTCAGAAGTGAAGGCTGAGCCGGGCTCGGTGGCTCAGCCTGTAATCCCGCGCCTTTGGGAGGCTGAGGTGAGTGGATTGCTTGAGCCCGCGGGTTCGAGACCCGCCTGGGCAGCGAGACCTCATCTCTACAATAAATCAAAAAATCAGCCGGGCATGGTAGCGCATGCCTGTAATTCCGGCTACTCGGAAGGCTGAGGCGGAAGGATCGCCGGAGCCCAGCAGGTCGAGGCTGCGGTGGCCGGGAGCGGCCACTGCACTCCAGTCTGGGTGACAGAGTGAGACTTCCACTCAAAAATAAATAAATAAATAAATAAATAAATAAAATAAAGAAGTGAAGGCTGAAATGTTTTTGTCTATAATCTTTCCAGGTCTATTTCTATTGTATACATATCTCTCTTTTTTTAAAAAAAGGAACATTCCATAAATACTGTTCTACAATTTAGTTATATGATTTTACAATATATCATGAACTTTTCATGTCAGTATATTTGAATCTACCTTCTTTTTTTTTTTGAGTGGAGGTTCACTCTCACCCAGGTTGGAGTGCAGTGGCACAATCACAGCTCATCACAGCCTCAACTTCCTGGGCTCAGGTGATGCTTATGCCTCAGCCTCCAAGTAGCTGGGACTATAGATGTATGCCACCATACCCAGCTAATTTTCTGATTTTTTAGTAGTATTTTTTGTAGAGATGAGGCCTTGCTATGTTGCCTAGGCTGGTTACATAATTCTTTTTAATACGTGCAGAGCATTTCATTGTTTGGCTGTGCCACAATTTAAATAATTTATTTCAATAACTAACTCAATATTGATGAACTAGGTCGTTTCCAATCGCTTCTATTGTAAACTGTGCTGTAACAAAAATTTTTATACTTATATTTTAGCATACTTTTACAAATATTTCTTTAGGATAGGATAAATTCATAGGAGTATGGGAATACTGGTTCAACTAGTATGCACAATTAATATTTTGATAGAGCTGTCAAATTGTTCTCCAAAAGCCCATCTTTTTATGGTTTTGGATAACATAATATTTTTGGTTAAAAAATAATCCATTGCTGAAGATCTATCTAATGCTGTTATAAACTTCTCCAGTATTTCCACCCAATTTTCATGGGATCTTAAATATTTATTTTTAAAGTCATAATAATATCTTGATTAAACTCTTTAAAGGAGTGAATGAATACAAAATGTTTTGAATTTTCAAAAAAGAGCACTATAGACCTTTGGCATAATATTTGCATATTAAAAACATAATATAGAAGCTGTTTTAAACTTAGTAGTATACTACATGAGAGTGAGAATGACTACATAAAATTTGCATTGTCAGGTCAGGGTCCTTTCTCCTTCACTCCCCACATCTTCCCTAGTCCCCAACCTTCCCAAAATAAAAGTTTTAGTCTAAATGGAAATGGAGAAATTATTCTGAGATTCACTGGGCGTAAACTCAGATCATTTCCTGGATTAAAGGTAAACTCAGATCATTTCCTGGATTAAAAGGGATGGAATCTTAATCTCAGTAAAACAGCTTTCAAGCATAACTATTCTTTTTAAAATTTGAGAAAAGATAGTGGGTTATTCATTATGAAATGGTTTTTACTCCTGTTATTCAGGCAAAGGAAAAATTGATATTCAAGCATATCTAAGTCAATGGCAAGATGAGCTTTTCAAAAAAGAAGAAAACATTAAGGATTTACCAAGAATGAATCAGGTATAGTATTTTAAAACAGAAAATTCTAGGTTCTTGTCTTTTTTATATGAATGTGGGGGTAACCAACTCTAAAATAACTAACATGCTATTACAAAAATAGTTAATTCATCTATGTATTCTCTCTGTAAGCTTCAGGTGAGCGTGAAAGAGTGAGAAGAAATTTTTTAATGATTTCTTCCACTTTAAACACTGAAATGCATCTAGTGTTTCAAATCGTTTCTCTGCTGTGACAATATTTGTACCTATAGAAATATATGTATAACATATTTCCAGCTTTATTGGAAATGTTAATTTATTTGGTAAACATTTTTTAGTGCCTACCAAATGCCAAGACCCATGCTAGATACCGGGAATAAGAAATTACTGAGATAGGTTACACCCTGTTTCCTAATGATCTTATATTTGAATACAATTTTAAATACATCTCTTTTTTTATATACCATCTAGCCAAAATACCTTCTTTTTAAGATAAAAATCAAGTTGGTACAAATACTGAGGCTTTCCAAACTGTCCATAAATGAGAACTATTAAATAATATTTCTCAGTGAATTACCTAACTTAACAATTGAGTACTTTTAAAACTGAGTCAGTGTATTCATTCTAAAATTATTATAAATGAACAGTACTGTAGACTAAGGAAGAAAAATAAGCTTAAATATTTATTACAATGTATTATTATGAAGTATATCCTTTGTATTAACTTTTTGTTTATAGAAAAGATTTTCTGGTAGGTTGATTGACTTATAGAACTCTTGTGTTGGAATTGATTTTTTAAATTGATATATATTTTCTAGGAATGTCTTTGGATTATCTAAGGGCAGTTAGCAGAGAAACCAGTTTATCTTTCCACTTAGGCCCCACTTCAGTCTTTAAAGAGAAAGGTGTCCAAATGAGTTCCTTGGAACTACCTTGCACTACTAGATAGTTCCCCAAAGTCATTTTTCCCTTAATTTAAGCCATCCTCATTGAGCTCTAGCCATTTGAGGAGATCAAACAAAACTCATTTTTAAACATTAAGATTGGTTAATTAATTGATGACTTATATGTAAAGAAATATGGGACTTCGCCTGACCAAAAGTACCGCCTAACATTGAAGTAATGCTGGCAGGCAAACAGTCCAGGAATTAATCTGGGTATAATGCACTTTTTTCGACAATAAATGACAGGACTTAAGTGACATTTTCCTCCATGGTTCATACTCATCTTCCTAGAGCCAGGATTTATTTGGAGATTAATCATCAGTTCTTATAACTTGTAAGGTGAAGGCTATATGGTACAAATTCTACATAGAAGACTATTTACTTCTAAATGATCTTTGCATTTGCTAAGTCTGATATTCATATGGAATATTTTCAACTTATGTCTTCTAGTCACAGTTTATTCAGTTTTCAAAGACCCTCTATAACTTATTTCATGAGGACCCTGAAGAAGAGTCATTATATCAAGCTATTGCTGTTGTAACCAGCCTTTTGCTCAGAATGGAAGAAGTTGGAAGGAAGTTACATAGCCCTACATCATCCAAAGGAACCTCTGGTGCAGTCTGTGTTTCTGGAGAAGCCAGTGAGGGGAAAACAGACAGCTGCTTAGAGAAAGAGTCTTCCTCTCTTAGGGAGGAACCTCAGTGGTCATTTGCATTTGAACAGATTCTTGCATCTCTGTTGAATGAACCAGCATTGGTGAGGTTTTTTGAGAAACCTATAGATGTAAAAGCCAAGCTAGAAAATGCAAAAACCTCTCAGTTAAGGTCTAGAACCAAGATGTAAATGTAAAAAGGAATTGCCTATCATAGACAAGTCTACCAAGATTTCTATAACTGTCAGCTTGATTCCTGGCAGTAGGACTCAAAAAGAGTTATCTTGTTACCAATGTATTTGAAGGGCAAAAAGAAGATATTCAGAAGCACACTGCATCATTCCTTTGTGATTAACTTAAATTTTGACATTCTCAAATACACTTTTTGTATTTTCCAAGTTATGCAATATCAGGGAGCATGCTAAATGTTGCCACCAGAGGGCACCAGCATATCACTTTTAATAAGGAAATCTCAAACCTGTGTTGCTATTTACATATGAATTAGTGATAGTTTTGAAAAGATAGGTGTGATCGTTGAGTGTTAGTGATGTTAATATATCATATCAATAAACCGTACTTTCCAAATTGCCTCAGTTCTATTAGAATGCTTTAGAAAACTGGGCTTTTAGATCTTATAGCCTTGATTATCTAGATTACCGTTTGAGGCCCTCATTTTCAAGTTATTTATCTGAAATATTATTAACTCTTAAAATTTAATATCATTCAATCTTCTAGTAATTTTTTAAGTAACTTATGCTTTCTCCTTATCTAAGAGTTCCAGAAGCTGCTTATTCACACTGCTAACTCTGTTACTGATAAAAGCATATCAAGAACGCTAAGCTCTGGGCTGATAGAAAGAAAAGCAATATTAGATTTGCATTTGAGCTGGATAAAGCCAGCCTTCTGAGAAGGGTTAAGAAACAGTCCAAATAACTGTATCGGTCTCTTATTAGGCTGAGAAATTACTAGCTCTTCTGAGCACTGCTGTTTGCAGCATTTGTTTCAGAGTAGCTTATGACTATTTTGGTTCTAGCTTTAGGTTTTGAATTTTCACCAGTCATGTTTTAATTTACATTAGATAGTAAAGAATAGTTACACTAAGACTAAATTATATCACTCTGACAAGCACATAAAGTGTACTTGTATGTAGTGATTGCCAAGGTAATGTATAGAATTGCTGACGTCTCTCTAAAAAGTTTTGACTATCTGATTTATATGTGTAATGTCTACGTACTTTATGCTGCTTATATTTCAGTCATTACAATGACAGTCTATTTAGAGCTAATGGGCTTCGTTAGCACTTTAAAAAACAAACCACACTTGTCTACTGTTCTGTGCTGTTTCTGACAAAAGCAATTTGTTAATCAGTTGACTTAGGAAATTGGGGGAGAGATCGTTCATTAGAGCTTCTTTCTTCACAAAAGACTTTAGTATTAAGCCCTTTGACTTTTCTAGTTGTGAAACAATGAAAGAACAGACCTCCTTCAGAGTGACCCAAGATGTCTCCCTTTCTGGGAAGGAATTGGTACAGTCAGCCTTTGGCGAGAATCTACTGTGAACAAAACCTAACACAGAGGGATTCATCACCATAGAGTCTGCTATTTTCAGAGAAGTTCAAGAATTTTCAAATTGAGCCTTTGAAAATTTCATAAATTGTGTTTAGTTAAACACTAGGAGTGTCTATAAAATGATTTGATCAAACTTGTCTTTTCCAGGAAATTACCACTTAAAGAAATAGTTGGTAAATAAGCATCTATACCTTTTCTCAGAAATAATTTGCTGAAATATGTTCACATTTTAGAGCTTAGTTAATAGTTTATATGAAAACCATCACATATCTATTATGCAATGATTGTTAAATTATGTTACAATAACTCTAGAAAGATACATGGTCTATGCTTATATACAAAGGTACTATCGTACTCACTTTGTTGAATATTTTGTCATTTGTGTTTACTAAGAAAGATACTTTCTTAAGCATATGCTATTAATATTTGATATGACTTTAAAGTCAAAATAGTAAAGATTACTGAGTATTGTAGTTTAGCCTAGATTAATTAAAACTGAATACTTAAAGAGATTTTTGAGTTGCAAAAATATTATAAGTGAAAAATAAAAAGACAAACATTTATTTTCTGAATCTGCAGAGAAACAAGCTGAACATTATAGTTTTATAGCTGCTGCCTTGTTAAGCAAATGGGTTGTTCTTAATATTTAAAATTTTATGTACTTGTGTCAAACTGACCCAGTATATTCTACCTTATGCATTGAATTAAATATGTTATAAGGTGGTTTTACTTGTCTTTACAAAAATAAATATTATAAATGGTTTACTTAAAGAGATTAATATTATTTACTATGATGTATCACTTGTACATGATACCTCTTGTATCATTTAGGATTCAGTTACAGAGAACAGAATTCGCTCTAATTAGTTTAGGCAAGAAAATATTTATGACTAGATATTAAATGGCTTACATAATTATCAGGAGGACTAAATTAAGCTTTCAAGAACAACTTCCAAAGTCACACCACTACCAGGCCACCAAGGGAGTCGCTAACTCTTCAGTGATAAGGACACTGCTACTTCCATAATAAAAAGCCATCACTGCAACCCTTTTGGGTCTCCTCCCACTCTGGGGGCTTTTCTGTCCTCTCAATAAATCCTGCTTTCTCAAAAAATAACATAAAAGCCATCACTACTGCCATTTCAGGAACAATGCTCCACCTGTTATGATTTACTCCAGCAAAATAGATGCCACACACCCTGCCTCTCAGCACCCACAAGCTAGTGACTAAATTGTAGTAGAACATCCAAGCCATCTTCATAACCATGTTTACCAACAGAAATGGCAGAAACAGCCTCCACCTTGCTTCTGTCATTCAAGCCTCACATGTATGGATCTGATTGGCCTGTAATAATTCAGAATCCTAGTTGCAAAGGGAAATGTACTTTTAGCTCTTTAGTCTCTGCAGTATAAGAAGGCACACTAAAAAAGAGGGTGGAAAAGCATATTAAACAGTGTATTTGTTTTCTATTGACACATGGTGAATTACAACACATTTATTGTCTCACCATTTTAGTGAGTCAGGACTCGGCTCAGCTTAGCTGGGTGGGTGCTCCACTTAGGATCTCACAACGTTGCAGCCAAGGTGTCAGCCAGGTTGATTCTCAGATAGAGGCTTAACTGAGGACAAATCCACTTCAAACTCACTCAAGCTGTTTGCAGAATTTATTTCTTTATGGTTTTCAGTCTGGGGGCAAGGCAACAGCTTTTTGCTGGTAGTCAGCTGGAGGCCACCCTCAGCTTCTACAGGCTTCACCTGGCAGTTCCTGGCAGCTGCCCTCAGCTACTACATGCCGCCCACAGTTCCTTGCCACATGGGCTTCCCCCAAATGACCACTTATTTCATCAAACCAGCAAGAAAAGTCTTTAGAGCAAGTCTGCTAGCAAGACAGTGTCTTACATAATGTGACATCATTATGACCGTGACATCCCACTTCCTTTGCCATGTTCTGTTGTTAAAAGCAAGTCACAGGTTTCATCCACACTCAAGGGGAGAGGATTATACAAAGGCAGGAGCATCAGGAAGGGGGAAGTGATCCACAGAGTCTTAGAATCAAGCACCAACCTATGTTATCTATTTCTTCTATGATGCAACACACCCTTCTTCCCATACTTCTAAATAACAGCTGATAGCAAAAGCAATGTGATCCTGCCTATCGTAACACAAATCTCCCTCATACAAACAAGTACACTAATTTTCTCTGCTAAAGAGAGATCCAAGTTTCTATCAGTTACTCAGCTCCATTCTTGTGCTGTTCACTCCCATTTCAGCCTCAATCCCATCTTGCTATCCGACGCCATGTGGACTAAATTATAAAGTTAATTACCAGCAACTCATATAGTAGAAGAGCAGGAAAATCCAAGGAGGGACCCAAAAAAATCAGGATTATCTTTTGTAGGGCAGGCCCCTTGTAGTACATGCTTCCCGAACTGGGTAAGTGTTCTAGGAACCCATCAGCATCAGTGTACCAGCTAGAGTTGTGAGAGGCTGCATTCGGCTTCAGTGAATTTTTTTGGAGATTCTTTCAACGTGTTTGCCCAGTTCATGATGGGTGATTTAACGAGTGCACCTGTCCACACTGCACTAAGTGTTCAGCAGTTTTTGACTAAAAAACATGACCCCTGTGTCCCAGCCTCCCTATTCACCTGATTTCATCCTGAGCGACTTTTTTTGTTTGTTTCCCCGATGAAAAAAGTCCTCAAAGGGAAATGTTTTGTCCATGTGGAGGAGGTGAAACAAAAAGCAACAGAAGCACTAAAGGCATCAAAATGGACAAGTTCAAAAACTCGTGGGGTTTTGAGCAGTGGAAAAAGCATCTCAATAGGCATATTACAACAAACGGAGAGTACTTGGAAGGTGACTGGAATTTAAGCATGTAAGAATAAATACACAATTTTTAAAATAAATTTTGGATCCCGCCTCATAAATGGATTATTATATATAAATATGTATCTAAAAGACAAAGACTATGGGTAGCTACTACAGTGCTCATTTCTGTAACTGGTAATGAGTCTATAGCTATATTTTGTTTTTTTTCTACTTATACAATAAATTATTTTTTGGTGTATACATCTGAATTTTAACACAAGTGTGCCTGCAACTGTCACAAAATTAGAATACAAAATAGTTCATCACCCTAAAAAGACTCCCTCATGCTCCCTCTTGATAGTCACATTCTCTCTCCACCCCTAACAACCACTGATCAGTTCTCTAACCACCATATAAAAGACCAGATGTTTGTTTTTCCAGCATCGCTGCTCCTTGCAGCCACATAGCCAAAAAATGGTTAATCAGATGCTTCTGCCTAGAATTTCTCAATCTATAGCAAGCATGAAGGAAAGTGAAGAATACAATACATTCTGGTGGCAGACGTGGCATCTTCACATCAACACTCCAGTTCTGAGATAGGATTTAGGGTGCTTTTAAATGCCCAGGCTTTGTTCCCCCCTTTGCAGGGAGTTTCTTAGTGGTTCTGTGAGCCTAACAGTTCAATACATCCTTTTTTATTTTTTATTTTTTTGCTTTTATCATCTGGAATCTTTTTTTTTTGACTTTAAAGGAAGATTGATACATGTGACACTGGGGACCCTGTAGCACTGGATCCCTCAAGACAAGGCAAATTATTCTAGTAGCTACTTTCACAGACTATATAATCACCATAAGAAACACATTTTATCCTTTATCGCACATTATGCTGCAGTTTCCATTTCTGTCATCAGAACTGCATCTTTCCCCCATCCCAGAAGCATTAAGCAGATTTCCTAGGTCCTCATTCTACATGTCTTCCTTTCCAGGTAATGTCTTGTTATGACCACTTTTAAGATCCTCATCTTTCCAATGCTCTGCAGTTTCTTATATTTATCTAGCTTTTAAAACAATCCTGTTTGAGATTAATGATTGAATTTTGGTAATCAACTATTATTCTCCAAGACTTGTCTACCTTCTGCATAGGCCAAACAGGCAAGTTAAATGAAGA